ACTTGAGAAAACAAGTGCAATGAATGTAAGATGTTAATTTGGATCAACAGACAGTTTAAAGAGTTTCTTCTTTAAGAATTTACAGCCTCAGCTGTTGAAGTCGTTTTTGACCGGAGTCATTACGAAGACGATCTGTTTGTGGTTCCAGCGAGATAAATTATAAGTGTGCAGGTGAATCTGGTGCTAAAGTTTGTTTTGATTATCTTGAAAAGAAGTTATAGGAGTTTGGACAAGTTATAGGAATGGCATCCTGGGAATTCTTCCTAAATGCTAGTTTTGTTTGTAATAAACCTAATTTAATGAGTTATAACAACTTGTATTTTTAAGTTCTAGACAAAAATGTCACATTTCAGGTTCAATTTACTAGAAATTGGCAAAATTCTTTTATTTTTACATTAAATAAACTAAAAAATATATCCATTGGTTTGACTAAAGTCCTTGATGCTGCTCTACAGTGTACACAGCGACTTGAAACAGGTCTTTTTCTTGCTGAACAGAGTTCTTCCCTCCTCCTCCTCCTCCGGACACGCTGCCTTCGTCGCTCTCTGAAGAATCGGCCCTTCCACCACCTCCTCCTCCTGCCCAGACGTCCTCCTCCCGCCCTCTGACTCCAGGCCAGCAGCCACTTTACAACACACAGGTATGCAGGCTTCTCTTGCAGCGTCGCTCCAACAATCAACCTGAACATCAGCAGCGTCTTCATGTTTATTCTGCTTTAAACGCTCAATGCCAATTTTCCTCAATAAATTCCGCCTCAAGCGCTTCAAGAAGACAAGTCACTTTTTCCCACAATGAAGGTTTAAGTTTCCACAACTTTTACAGATACTGGATTATGTTCTGCAGTGATTTTAGAAATCATCAGGAAAACTCATTAGTGAAGGAAAAACAGCTGTCTTTTAGATATGGCTAACTGATATGAGGAGAAAAAAAACACTTTATGAAGTTTGTCCTTCACAAACAGAGCACTTTCCAAAGTGCTGCCATAAGAAACCTTTTGTTCCCGCCGTAAAAGCCTCATCCCTGCGTAGAAACAATAAAAGATCAGGAAACAGGGCTGAGCTGCAGCAGGAGGCCCGTTGTTTGGTCAGTCAGGACACTTTCTGTGCTGCTCACTGATGTTCCTGTGGTTTACACTTCTGTTTCAAGGATCTGTTTTCTACACATTTGGTTGAAAATGATTTTCCTTTCCTGACAATTTGACCAATACAAGACTTCAGATGATGGTGTTGAACACAGAGAATTTAAGGATTGATATTGCATTTTGTTTAGGAAAAGGTCACTCGGTGCAAAACAGAAAAACGAATTGGCAAGCTTGCACAAGTTTGACTCGTGCATGACTTTTATTTTTTAAGTAAAAGAACGTGATTCCATTATTTAACTGGTGAAAAGGCCCACAGAAAGCCTGATGCTAGATTTTTTAAATACTGTTTAAAATTGTACTTTTAAGTGATGTTTAAGACAGCTACACAGTGAATCAGCAGCAGATTTATACCAAATTTTTAAGCCTCAAAAAGCAGAAACACTCTGATATTCGTATTTTTGTGCATCCCAGTCCTCTTACTTCTGTTGATGAGTCTTTTTTAACTCCTGTGCATTCAAAACCGAGCATCACTAAACTGTACGGTTCATCTTTTGAACCTCAAACATGAACAGTCCAAAGTGTAGCTCCACATTAATAAAATGCTTTAAATTTAAGGTGGAAACAAGCACACCATCTAGTGGGTCGAACCAAGACGAACAATCAAACGGGATCCACAGCAGCAGCAGCAGCAGCCAGGACGCCAGCAGGGAGAGCAGAGGTAAGATGATCTCTGTTTACACTGGTATTAGTCCTCTTCAAAGCGCCCCGCATCATCAGCGCCACACGTATCATTACACCTTGCTCTGATTTTTGATGTTTGTGTACACTGCAGACGTGTGTGGCTTCTGTCGGAAGCCCGTGGCTCTCTCTGAACCGGCGATCGAGGCTTTAAACAGGACTTACCACGACGGCTGCTTCCAGTGCAGGTCCTGTCACATTCCCCTGGCTGGTAAACAGTACTACAACAAGGCAGGCATCCCGCTCTGTGAAGACTGTTACCAGGTAGGTCAGAGTCAACACAACCTCCACGACGGCTGCAAATGCAAACTTTGCAAAGGGCCATACCTGTGGTTTTGAGCATTTTCTTCTCAGAAAAAAACATCTTTGAATTGGCTTTGTGTTCATTTCACTATATGTTTCTTCCAACTTGTGGAGTTAAATTTGAAAGTTGAGCATGCAGCGAGAACAAAAAGAGCACAGGACAAGAAATGTGTGAGGAAGAGGCAAGCAAATTCACTGAGCTCAACAACTGAGTGTCTGTTTTTCAACTTTTACCATTTTTCTGCTCTAAAAATGTCTCGTCACATGTTCAGGATAGAGACACAAAGAGAAAGTCTTGGAAACTTGCTTAAAAATGTCTCATTACAGTTAACATCAAGCCCCCTTTTGGTTATTTATATCACTGTTGCATAGTAATGCTGTTGCAGTGAGACAGAAGTTAAACACAGTTGCTCAGGTTATAAATCAGCATTAAAATATAAGGCGCCAGTGTGTGTGAGCAGCTACAGACTGTTGCATTTAATCAACCTTGCTTCTGTCCCTGTGCTTCAGGCCAGTTTGGAGCTTTGCTGGGCGTGTGGGGAGGTCATCACAGATCACGTGATCCGTGCACTAGAGCGAGCGTACCACCTCTCTTGTTTCACCTGCGCAACATGCAAACAGCAAATTGGCGAGCAAGCCTTTGCTCAGGGAGAAGTGGGAGAAGTGTACTGCCTTCAAGACTATTACAGGTAAAATCAAAAGTGACTGTGAGCGAGACAATCACCCTTGATGCAATCCAACAAGACGTTCTAGGTCTAACTTAAAGGACGTACAGTCAGATGTATTCTCCCATTAAAGAAGGGGGGAAAAAAAGCAGCTGAAATAAGTTGAAATTGACAAAAGTAATAATAAATAAAGATGTAATGAAAACCATGACGTTGCTTTTGAATTGTGGTTCAACGAAAATATATATTAAAAAAAAAAAAAGCAAATGAGCACGATGGGACTAATATTTTGTTGAACAACCCTTTGAGCCAATCACTGCCTTCAGGTGTTTCCTGTAACTCTCAGTCAGACTTCTGCACCTGTCGACAGGTGTTCTGACCCACTGCTCATCAGCAAAGTGCTCTGATTTGTTAATTTTTTAAAAATTATTCTTTTCAACCACAATTCAAGAGCAATGTCTCATTTCACTAAATTATATTTTAGCAAATTTTTATTTATTATTACTTTTTTCAATTTCTAGTTATTTGAGTGACTGTTGTGAATTTTGCCTTTTCTTTAATGGAAGGGCGTGAATACATTTGAGGATGTGTTCAAAAGACGATCATATGATTCTGTCCTTAAAGGAAATACGCTCCAAAGTGCAACGCGTGTAACCGGCTAATCATTCCAAAAGAAGACGGTACCGACAGCTACACGGTTGAGTGTCTGGGACGCTCCTACCATGAGAACTGCTACAGGTGTGAGGTAGGCGTGACACACACTGACAGGCATGCACACACACACACACACACATCATTCATCGCAGGTCATTAAGGCTTTCATTCTGTCTGCAGGTCTGCGTCATCCAGCTCTCTCCTGAACCAAACGAGCACGGCTGCTACCCTTTAGACGGGAAGATGCTGTGCAAATCTTGTCACCTGAACCTGGTTTCCGGTCAGCACTAACGCCAGCTTCTTCTAGCAGCTGCGGCGGGAAAAGTGCCAGCTTCAAGGAGATGGGAGCATTTAAGACGAGCATACGAATGTCACAGCTTCTTCACTAGAGCAATAATTATATGGATATTTTTACAACATATCGTGCTTTCTGAAGATCCTCCTGTTCTTGTTTTTATACTTGATCATTTTGCACTCAATCAAGTCTACAACATTTTGCAATTATATTTATGCAACTGACTTAAAAACATACAATGACTAGAATTTATCTCGAACACTATGCCGTTTCTCAAACACATTAACCCTTCATATGAAAAAAAAAGTTTAGATTAAAAAAACAAAACATTTATAGTAAAGTAAACTAATATATTTTATCTCGAGGCAGACTCCGTCATACACAACATTTGTTAAGTTGCACAAACGCCCTCAGTAAGTATGAAGATGTGAAAGACAAACCACTGATCAGGTGAAGCAGAAACAAGCTTCTGCCTTGATAACACTCAACTATTCACACTGACTGAACGCTATAAAAGTCTCATTCAGATCCCAGCGGAATTATTTTATTTATAGTCTCTATCTCAAAATGACTTTTTGTGGAATTATATCTCTGTGTATTATATAATAAAAACAAACAAACAAACATGTATTAAAATCATTTCCTGGAAAAATCATTTGGACATTTATGTTTGATGATAGTTAGCACCGTCACCGGTTCGCGTCCCGGTGAGGACACCCGGGATCTTCCTGCGTGGAGTCTCCATGTTCTCCCCGTGCAGCGTGGGTTCTCTCCGGGTTCTCCGGCTTCCTCCCACAGTCCAGAAACATGCTGAGGTTAATTGGTGATTGTAAATTGTCCATAGGTGTGAATGTGAGTGTGCTTGGTTGTCTGTCTCTAAGTGTAGCCCTGTGATAGACTGGTTACCTGTCCAGGTGAACCTGCCTTCACCCTGAGTCAGCTGGGATAGACTCCAGCCCCAGTGAGGATTAAGGTGTAGAGATGATGGATGGATGTTTGAATATCTATAAAGACGCACTATTTGACCTGCTGATGTTTCAGAAATGTGTGCATCACTTTTTTGACTTAATGAGTTTTCTCTACTGTTCACACACATTTATCACTCAGAAAAAACTCGCTTGAAGTGGTCCAAAGGAGAAATATTTGACTTTTCTTTAACCTCTTCAGACCTGAGCTCTCGTTTGATATGCATTTTTTATTTCCATCTGCTATTTGATCTGTTCCAATAGCAATGAGAATGAAAAATATAAAGAAAAGAAAAATATATTTAAAATATTTTTTAAAAAACATAAAAATTAAAAATAAATTACAAAACACAAATAAAGCAAATTAAGAAAAAAAATGAACTACTGTGGTACTATAACCAAACATCTGCCAGGTCTTAAGATGTTAAAGTGAAAATCTGCACAAGATAGATTTCATAGTCTAATTCAGACGGTACAAAATATATCTATATATATTTTTTTTTATTTTTCATTTATTAAACAAAAAGCCAATGCATTTCATTCAATTCATATTTTGGTTTGTTCACAATTTCCATTTTTCCCTCTGATCTGCACAAACACACCATAAATCTGACAAAAACACCAACTGGAAGGAGGCTGAGGATTACGTGTGAGTGGAAACCTATTTTGGTGACACTTAAAGAGTGTTTTTTGACTTTTACACCAGCGAGGAGGTAGACGTTATGATTTATGTGGCATACTGGTTGGCCACTACGTTTCGTCTTAAGTTGTTTCTGCCCTTTGGGTTTTTTTTGTTTTTACAGAACAAAAAAATTGACAATCGTGTTTAAGATAATTTGAACTAAAATGACAAACATTAGCTGGATCTCAGCTTTGTAAATGTGATGTGTTGCTTTTTCCCCCCATTATAACGAAAATAATATGATTCTGTGTTTGGTTACAACAGTAGTTTGAAGAGGCTTCAAGAAATCTGCATACGTTTCACTATTTACTGATGTTTATGGACTCGGGTGTCATTAGGCCTGGACTTGGAAGGTTTCATGAAAAGCCAAAGGTCTCTTAGTTTTTGTTTGTTTGCTTTGTTAGAAAAAAAAAAGAAAACACAAATCCTCAGATCTGTTCATGTGTCATTCTGGTGGTGCGTTCAAGGCCTCAGAAATATTAGGATATAGTTGATCTTTGTCACATACTAACATATAAAATTCATTAAACCAACCGTTTCCCACCTTCATGTGTAAATATACAATGAAAATATATTTTAATTTATTAAACTTAGAATGTTGCTTCTTTAAATGTGAACTAATTGCACTTTGGTTGAATAATTAGTTGTGAAAGTGTAAATCTAGCTCAGTTAAGTTATTTGAACGTGAAATAAATAAGTTGCATGAACTTTAGCCATTAAGTTGAATAACCTTGTGATGTAGACAGTCGCTACAGACAGACTTGCTTTTGTCTTACATGTCCTATATTTAACATTAACTGTTGAACTGTTAGAGCCATTTTTGACCACAGTCAGATTACAGCAGAAGAAATTCTACGAGTGTAAAGACAGAGTCCAATACTAACCTTGTTCATGTGTTTTTATTTGATTGTGTAGATATATATATAGATATAACATGGATTAATTGTAATGAAAAGAAACAACCATAACCTGTTGAAGTTTCCATCATCTTCACAGAGCTTTAACTCTCCAACAATGCATCCTGTTCCTGTGTTAATTTTGTTTCAATGAGCTGAGTCAGCTGTTCATTCATCCGACTCATCATTTTAAATCAAAATGCCTCAAATTATAGGAATTCATGCTTTCAAATTCTAAAGTGGTCAGATTTTTTTTTTAAAGATCACATTTTAAATGAGTAGAAATGAGCAAAACTGAGTTGATTTACAGCTTAGCCATGTAAATAAGACTAATTCCAAGGCACCACTGCTCCAGCTCACCGTGACATCAGTGTGGATCACGGGCCGAACGTAAAGAGAAAGAGCACAGTGTTCTGGAGATAAGCACTTATCAGGGTGAAAGCTATAGACTGTGGACTTGGTGTCAAGGTCCTAACAAGGCCTTTGACTCAGGAAGTAATGGTTTATGGAGGAAGACGTTTGATTTTTAATTGCATCTTTGATTTTCATTAATGTGCACAAACAGCAATTGATTGGGCTCGAAAATGTCACTTTCTAATAATGATGACGGATGATTATAGGGTCCAGTTTACATGCTGTACTTTAAATGAAGAGTTTATTTTTCATCAAATACGTCACCAACACGTAAGCATTCATACAGATGCGTTAAAACGCGGTGAAATGTCGCCTCGTGAGCCTGCTCTCGGCTTGTTGATCGTCTTGAGGAAATCGCGTGCAGACTGCTGTGCATAAGCTTTCACACCGAGACGATCTCGGGGCCGCGCAGCTCGCTCCCGAAACCACCAGGAGCGAGGCTGACGCGCGTCCCCGCGCACGGGTCGAGGACGCAGCAGCTAAAGCTAAACGGGCAGCGGGCTACCAGGCCCACAGCGTTCACGGAATCCAGCGTCGTTCATTTTGTTCAGGCGGACCTCCGACCGGCAGGGATTAGAAACGTGCGAGATCATATGTGTGTAAAGGGGGAAAGGGTAGCGCAAGATGGTTCGGGAAACCAGACACCTTTGGGTGGGAAATTTACCCGAACATGTTCGAGAGGAGAAAATCGTGGAGCATTTTAAAAGGTAGGTTACGCAAGACGGAGCCCGTGTTTGCGGAGCAGCGCGCTAGGTGCAGTACAGCTAGTTAGACTCGGCAGCCTGCTACCGATGCTAACGCAGCTAGCGTTAGCATTTTTAAGTTTTACCCGTCTGGGCATTTCTTATGTGCTGCGTGTGCTATATTACAGCACGGCGGTGTTTGTTGAAGCGAATTACACGGAATAGACCCGCTCGAGTGTGCACGCGTATGATTTATGGTCTTTCGCTAACTTTTGCTAACGCCAAGAGGCAATTAGCTGGGCTTGCTAGCCGCCGAGCTTCCACCCAACCAACCATTTTGTGGGAAGTCGAGACGTTTTCGTGATCTGTACAAGCCAAAAGGCAGCTAACATTAGCCGGACAGCGGGTCCGAACCAGCAGACGGCTCGTGTTGTTTCAGTCGCCGGAAGCGTCTGGCTCTTATTGTTGTTTCTCTGCGCAACTGTGTCGGAGAAAGAATGAAATGTAAAGAAGCCAAAATGAGCGAAGCCACTGTGCTGATGACCAAAATGTTAGCAAGTAGTTGAGCAGCTTGACGTCGGTTGCCATCAGCAGTGCTACTGAAACGGAGCTGAATGTTGTGGTTTGGTTCGTCGAGTTAAAAGTAAAACCACTTTTTGCCCGCGCTACTGAGCCTCTACTGGCATTAAAAGAGAGCCAAAGGCGTAAACGTGTGCGCTTTCCAGGGTTTGCAGAAGTCATTTGCAGCCATGTAACGCTATACGTCGTTATCATTTCTACTCTGTGTGAAGACTGCTCGACTAACTCGCCAATAAACTCATGTACAGACATCACAGTCAATGGGATCCGTTGCTGTAGCTCCTCACCAGTGCTCTGCTGTTAGCATAACCCTTTTTATAGTTGTTGCACACTGACATTTGACATGTGTTCGGTCCCAGAGGGCTGTTTGAGTAACTTTAGCGCTGTGAAGTTTGTTTAGAAACCTCAGTATTCCCCAGAGTGCACTGCACTAAGTGTAATCAGCCATCATATTAATTGCAGACACTTCACAAAGTTCAGAAAGTTATCGTCTGTATTTTGGCACTAAAAGAAATATAAGCGTAAACGGACATTCATTCATAATTTAGGGTGGATCGAGACTTTGCTTCTGCTCTTGATTTACCAGACTTTGCTGTACAGGAAGACACTTGCACATACCCTATTCTTGGCTATATGTAATTTCCTCTTTGTTTTCATTGTAATTTCCTCTCAGGTATGGCCGCGTCGAGAGCGTTAAAGTTCTGCGAAAGCGAGGTTCAGAGGGGGGTGTTGCAGCCTTTGTGGATTTTGTGGATATCAAAAGTGCGCAGAAGGCTCACAATGCTGTCAACAAGATGGGAGACAGGGACCTTCGGACTGACTACAATGAGCCTGGGTCAGTCCCGAGCGCTGTTCGGGGCCTCGAAGACAGCTCCCCCTCGAGCAGTCGAGACGTTACAGGATTCTCTAGGGGAACAGTTGGTCCAGTGTTTGGCCCACCTGTGTCCCTTCACACCAGAGAGGGACGTTATGAACGGAGAATAGATGGGTAAGTGGACACGGCGTCCCCTTGAAATCCAGGGGAATCTCAGTATCAGATAGGTGTAAAACCTAAACACATAGTGGGGTTATTCGTGAGGGATTGATGCCTCATGGGGTTACACAAAGGTAATCTAGGGATCGTTCCACTTTCATCATAATTGACTCGCCTTGCCCATGGGATCTAAGTAAATTAACTACACATTATCATTTGGTAAGGTAACTATATTTCAAGGTTTGACATCTGGTTTGGATATTACATCTGTGAGGAATATCCTGGTGAGTTGTGGATTTATTACATTTTGTGGGAAACTACCTTGGGGAGCTTTTGGATATTTATGAATAATTTTTTTCTCCTAAACATGGGATCTAACCTTGATTTTTATGCGGAATCGCCCGAAGCTGGAACTAAATCTCTATTATGAAGGATGCGCTTTTCTTTGAAGATCTGTGTCCAGGTTATATCATTACTTGAACCTTCCATCTTGGCTTGTCATTTTTTTTCCTTCGTGGCAACAGCTGATGGTTGGACTACTTTTACCCTTTTTTGTTTTTTGCGTCTGTGGATACACCCTTCTCTGGATTTAAGTTTTGACCAAGTGGATGGAAGAATTTACGGTCCTTACACGTCACAAGCGAGACTGACGTAGTGCACATGTCCCAGGTTATCTCGGTCATTGTAGGATGAGATTAACTATTTATAATCGTCACTTTTTTTTTTTTTTTAAATCCCAAATATGGAAGCTATACAAGAAGACTTTGCAAGAACAATGAGGATCCTGACAGCCAGCCAGCAAAGTTTGTGG